AAGCGATTGCACCCTTCCTATCTAGCCGTCGCTTTCATGATAATATTTGACCGTAGAACAATGTGAATACAGTTTCACCTTGCTTATTTTGCTCTGTTCTATGGGTGGGGTTGGCCGTACTTTCGTTCGATTATCCGCTTTCGCAACAAAGCGAACCAGAGAACCCAATGACTGTGCGTGTGACGCTGGTGCAGCATCGGGAATATAGCGGCCTAGGAGTGACCTAATTGGTCTTGGCTAATTACGCTTTCCATTTCGAGGACTTGGTTACCAGATAGCAACTATCTTCGTTTCGCATCAGAAACACTGTCACTGAGTTCGCGATTGCGTTATCCTCCGATAGGGCGGAAATGACTGAACCCGGAAAATCAATAACTGTTACTGTGCGATCACAGGTGATTATGGGATCATGCACACAGGCCGTAGACAGGTCAGGTTATGGGTTGAACGAATCCGGTGGGCTAAGTGAACAGGCCAGATATCTAACCAATTTTGCGACAACACAGCCGATTTCACGATGCCGCATGAGGGTCACAATCACCGATGATAAGATGTTGGTGAAGTGAGTCACGACGAAATAATTTTACGGTTTCTCGTGTAAACTTATTTTGCCAACGCGATATGTCGCAAGCGTATGTAGAAGGAGATAATTGGAAATGCTTGTTTGATTAAGGTGAACGTTCAGCAGCTGGATACGAATGTTAGCATCTGTGGAATACAGAGGATTGTGCATCACAGTCCAAAGTTCGAGATAACACCTGTCCACTGAGAGCAGCTAATACTCAGATGCATGTATCATATTCAATTGCAATTCAACCATGCGTTATACAGAGAAGTAGATGGAGCGGCGATTGGATCATCTCTCGAACCCCTGTTGGATGTTGTTGGATGCGACCAGATGGTGAGGAGGGACAGCGGATTCCGTGAGCCTGGGAATGATCGACATGGTTGCATATTTGCTGCTTGGTATCATTTTGATTCACGATTTATCCTCATTTGTTCAGACAAAAAGGCACGTTCACTCATTCCTCGATTAGCTGCTAGCAGCTCCATACAGGACGTGGTTTAATTGTGAGTAAGTAGTCATGGTTGTGCGTTGGTTTGGATACTGCTATGACGCCCGAATCTATACAGCAGCAAGATTTGTGTCTTCAGTCAGAGGCCTTGGCTCGAAACACTGTCTACAATGTAGCAGGAACGTGACATTGATTGGGTCGTATGTAAATGGATGTCATCTGTTTCCAATCCACAATCAGGATGCACACAAGAATGAGTCTGTCTGGCGTGAAACCAGTGACAAACATGGCAGGATCAATTCTACAGGGGACTGGGGCACCTCTCCATAACGCTGAACGGGCTGGACGAGTACGCAAATTCTAGCACGACGTTTGGGTTCATTCTCGTTACGACGGCATCTGTTGAGTTGGAAACATAGGACTAGGTGCTGCTCTTGATTCTGCAACTCTGCCGTGGCAGTGCAGGGTGTTGGAACTCTGCGAAATACTGATCACACACAGATTACATGGCGTTAGTGTTGTAGTTCAGAATTTGGACCGTGTGTTTGCCTTACATGTAAACCGACTTTTTCAGCTCACATTCCGTAGTTCTAGTTAACAGTACTTCAAGATTAGATGTTCGGCCCTATTTCTCTGAACCTATCTCAAACTGGATTTGCGCCACGACCTTATTCAAAAGCGGTTTCGCGACTGTTATTTTGATTTGCATGTCTATCACAAAGAGTCCTCGATATATCGGGTATACTGTGACAGAATTCTGAGCAAAAGTTAGACTCATCCAATTGCTGCATATCCATCTCCGCTACCAGTCCTGTTGCATGCGCAGCAATTGGTGTGCTTTGCAATTGCTTTAGGTCTTCCCGTTGAAGCAGAGTTAGGATGACATACACAAACGGAGTAATTTGCATCCGTTTTCCGTCCTGATTTTCCCAAGCCATGGTTCGCTGTTGTTAAGCATTCTGTGATGACCGCCGTTGAGACCCGCCAGTAGACAGACATACTTGGAGAGGTAATGTGCAATCACCTCATTTTTTCATCATTATTCATTCGTAAATCATTGAGCATTTGTAGAATGCGATGGGTATTGCTTGCGCATCACGCTGATCTATTGCTCAGATGATTGAACATCTCCAAAAATGTTACCTGTCATATCGACAACGACTCAATACAAGAAACATCGGAGAGGAAATCTGAAGGATTGCATTAGGTCGCTGGAACTAAACCAAATCAGGTGACCACTTCAGTCGCAGAAAATGAGCACAGATTCCGAAGCACAAATCGAGGCCGTCACTTTAAAACTTCACTTGCATCTTGATCATGGATCGAGGATTCAAGTAGCAAGGTTCAACACTGCATATCACCGCACTTAGGATGCCAACTTGAATGGTATTGAAACGAGTGCAACCGAATTGACAAGCTCGGTCGGTAAAAGATGAACTGAATGCTGTAGGATCGTGTGTGTCTATGGATGTACGCAGGCATAGCCAACTTATCCGAACAAGTTTCTGAATGCAACATTTGATGCCACAACTGTTTAGGTACTGGTCACTGCGCTGCAGGCTGTCAATGTGGCAGTGGTATGCGTATTGTTTCCGTGTAAAACCGTGTAATGCGGCCGGTGCTTATCTCAGTCGGATCTCTATGGACACTGCACAAATCCGTTTGTGCAGCTCGTCATGTTAAACGGAAATCTGTGGTCTGAAGCATAATGCTTCACATTGTACAGACCTCATGGTTCCACAAAATGATGCACCGTACACAATTGCGCGCTTCCCTAGTTAGCCCGGCAAATTTCAAACACACACCTTCGTGATGGATATCGATGATAACGGTAATAGTAGGCGATTATGTAATGAGAACGTGAAATTTGATCACGCTGCTGTGTAACCCAAATGTTCCATGATGAAAGCGCACACAGAAAATGCGTACACTTAAAACTACGCCCTCAGCGATTTGTGGGCACTCTAAACGGCGAACACGGAAATACACCAGTTCGATCGCTTTGTACATAAACGACTGCCCAACGTGCCAAATCCCCCATGAATCATTCAGAATGCTCAGCAGACAGAACACTGACCGCCTACTGCAGTCCGCCGAAGCCTCAGCAATTCAGTGGCTCTAACGCACTTGGTGTGACCAGACTGAATGCGTGAGCATTTTATGGTCCTAGGTCTATTTCTTAGTCCAGAAGAATGGAATCGTAAATGGACACTTGTATATTTTACTCATGCAGTTGGCCCTCTATAGTGACACCGGTGAATTGTGTGGTTTATGGAAGCGGGAATGGCAGTGCGTGTCCCAGCTATGCGAATGATTCGACAGTGGACGTGTTTTCGGTTTACTGAACTGACAGTCCACATTTTTCAATTCTCGTCTGTGTGCAACGGAAGAAGTAAGTTCGGTTACGATTGTACGCTTGCACACAATTGGACTGCAGAAAACTAGGCACATCTGCAGAGTGCTAAATGTTTCCCGTCCAAACGATTTTCTGTTGGGAAATTTATTATTGGAATACAGTTGTGAGAAACTATCGGTCATCCCACGCGATCACCGAACTCATCAGGCGAAGGATAGGCTAGCCACGAACTCAGTTTGTTCACACCAAGTGTTCGCCATATGTGGTATGTCCACAACCCCGTGGGTTAATTTGTCTTTCTACGCATTTTTCCGTACCGTCGATTTCGCGTGTACGCTGTTTTAGTGTACACTGTTTTCGTAACCGTGCTTTTTCTGGTCTCCCGAACCCAAGTGACACTGTTGTCAAGTCGCCAACTGCACGAATCCCTTGTTGATGACGTTGTCATGTGGTAATTACATCACTCTGAATATCACTTCCATTACTGACATGTGACAAATACGCCGCTATCCCAATAACTAGGATCTCCGTTTTATACATTCCATGTCGTAATATCTATGTTCTTCATTTCTTGAAGTTCGCCTGGTCTTCGCTGGAGCATTAAACGCTTCGCTGAAGTTCATATTTCTCTCTCTCGAAGTCGAGAACATACATCCGGTATTATAATTAGCCTTAGTGCAGTGAGGTAAGTTCGTGTACTCTCTGCATGTATACCGCAAGTCTTATCAATTTCTGTCTATTACCTCTTGGCCCGAAATTCCAGTTGGAGACAATCTATCACAGTCTCGCAAACCGCCATTACCGATTCATACCCTGCCGATCGCTCCCATGTGTTTGTTCATTGACACTACAGTCGCGCCTCAGGTCAAGTATTCGACTCACGACCCCCTCTGACTGGTGAACCCTACCTGAGCAGTACGTCTGATTCGTCAAGTACCGACTCGTCATTGTCGTTGACCTTCCAATCAGGACAGAGCAAATGTCGCAATTTGTGTGGTTGACGTGTGACCTACATTACTTCACAATATGCGTTCCCAACTCATGCCTATGTCTCGTCTCCCCACCCCGACCTTCCTTAGCCTTGTGTGATTGGACTCTGGAAAGTTTGTTTCCTGATTGGTTCGTTGTGTGACAGTGACTTGCTACATATGCGGGTGTCAGCGACAGTTCGTTGAGCTACATTTACACAACCGGATCGTTGCGTTTTTGTTCAAACGGGCAAATTTGAAGACCGATTTCGTTGAGCACATCTTCAATGTAAGTTGTAATTATGATATTCTACTTTTGTAACATAGCACCGTAGTTCAACACTGACTGTGGATTCACGATTGAATGGTGCCCGTGTAGCAGTTCCGGTTCATTGTCAGTCGTTGATACCTTCTCGGAGGTCGTGGATCGGTGTCCCACTCGTTGTCCAACAAGACTAAGCGCTTTTGACGCTTCCAATGTTCAACAATCCCAATTCTCGCAGTCATGTGCTTGGGTGACCTCCAATCCGATCCCGTATGGTGAGCAAATCCAGCAAGGTGCAATCTGTTACACGTATCTCAGTTTGTGCGGAATGCGCGAGTGACACGTTGGAGGGATTTATCAAAACGTGAGGCATGCACTGTAACTGTCGGCATTCATTAACGTCCAAGAAGCGGAGATGTTTCGAGGGGCGGAAATTTTGGCTCGATGCGCTCCATTCTATCGGCTGTTCTCAAGTACAGTCGTATGAGCACAACTGCGTTCATGTCTGAAGTCGTCAGAGAGGAGCGGAAGCATGAGGCATTCAGTTCCTGCAAGTATACTTGGCTACGATTGGTTGGGTTTAACCGTTGGCAAGCATCAATCCATCCAGCGTCCGTCACCCGCGTGGAATACATGCGAAGACAGTGTAAATTTGGAAGAGCAAGCATGTCACGAATATTGCCATCACAAGTGGCCCACGGGATAGTCAAACGTGGCATTCGTACTTCCCGTTCAGACTGAGCCCCATCAAATGAGGCCAACGCGAAATGAGGCAACACACCATATCATTCGTAACCAGCGGATAGTAGCTCAGATCCAGGGAGGTAGTGCAGTTCCTCAGCATATTGGCCGCGTGTACGTTAATCTGCACGCATGCATGCACTCACGCGAACCCATCACCAACTGCCGGCCTAAAGAGGATAGTCACCGACTGGTGCCGAGTAACTACCCAAGTCGCAGTCCAACACGTATCGTGATCGGAACATGAGGCGAGTTGGGATCATGCCTAAGCAGCGGCAAAGGAGTTACAATGACGCGAGATGAATTTCAGATGTTGTTTGTGGCAAAGGATGGCGAGAGGCGTGATAAATGGTCAACGTCGCTGCGGCGTCTCATCGTCATGATTTACACACTCACAAAGTGGTAAATTGCAACAATCCAACATTTTTTCCTACTGGTTAGTATGTGGATATTTTATGTTGTCGTCGTTATGCATTCTGTGCACAACTATACTCATTATAAAACACCAACTTCACATTCGTTTATTCGTAAGTAAATTTATGTATATTTAACTTCTTATTATAAAAGCACGATTTTCGCTACCTTGAATTCTGTTACTGTTTTCGTTGGCATCAAGCTATGCGTGAGTCTACGCTTTGATTCAGTGATACCATGGGAAGGAGGTTGGTCCATGTTTACGTTATTGAGGGATGGTGTGTGGGATCCAGGGAGTTAGTCGTACTCTGACTGGTGGTAGAAACCGGGTCTTCTATATTTGCATGCTTAACGACTGGATGAACAATGTCATCTGCTCCATGGGTTGATGGCTGTGATTCAGGGGTAATTTTCGTAATGAAAACTATCGCGATTAGTGAGACCCCACTTAGCGATACGAAAATGTATTGCATTTGGATCCTGATCATCAGGGGTTGTTCAAGGGCGCTGAGGAGGTGGCCGAGGCAGCCAAGTGTGAGTGATGAGCTAGACGCAGGAATTTGTGACTTGGATGGTTAGCAGGTATTCCGCAACATCATTGATCCAGCATTATGGCTCATTCCATCCGGCATCAAGCCTCCTCTGAATCATTTTCGCACAGGGTTCGGTAATATTTCGTTTAATGAAATTGTTATGGCGCCCTATTCTGGAGGTCCGCAATTGATGCAAAGGCACTTGCAACATTAGCTCGCGTAGGTCCGAACCGAAAGTGCCCACCGTCGAAATGGATGATGGATCAGTCCAACAGACCACAGGGTGTTTCAGATCTCCCAGTATTAGACGACTATTGGCAGTCTGAGTACGAATATACTCAATAACCTCGTTGGAGATACTTGCAGGACTTCGATTTACCACTACAACTGTAAACTGGACAGAAGACGTGCACCCAATAGTCGACAGTGCTTCAGCGGTTTGATTCGGTGACTGGAATATAGGTCCTGAATACATCCGGCTTACCGCTCACATAAAGTGGGACGCCCTCACATTGACAGCCAACACAGTAATCACATCTAAGCAGTCCGTATCCAGATGAATCTACTTCACTGTCTGTGATATCCGAGGACAACCACGTTTCAGTGAATGCAAGTATGTCGGGACAAGATTTGCCCACAATTATACCCACTTCGTTTACCTTGTTCATTAGGCTACGCATATTGCTAAACACTAACCGAAGGAACTCGGCAAGACCAGCCCTGGGTCGTACGTTACCAGGAGAGGTTCTGGTAGGACAGAAGTTGACTTCCGGCTGACCACCATAAAACCCACAATACGGAGGCTTTGTTCACCAGCCTCCTGCCCGCTGTTTAAGATTTTGATGGCTTCACTTAACTCCAGTCGATCTGCCAGTGGAAGGTGTTGTTGAACGCTGACATCGCTACGCTTGAGTTTCAATGCAAATCGCATTAACGCTTTGCGTTCCTCCGGGGTTGAGAGGACTACACGACGTTGTCGGGGCTGCAGATTTGGCGTATCGACAGGGGCGTTTCCCAGTCTGGTTAGCTTCCTGATGGTGACTCCAGAGAAACCAAGTGAAAGCATCTTGGTGACGCAGCGATTCAACCACTGGAGGTCAACCAGCTTGCGTTCCTTGGGAAGAGCTGCCGAGGATTCAGCAACGGTACATAAGATAATGCTGCTACCAGTAGGAGGATCACCTCACCGCGGTGTATCAACTCCACGAGTCTTCGACTCGACCCCCGCTTCCATCGGTTTGGTAGGTGACGCAGCGCGTTGCTTCGCCAAAGGACCAGGAGTAATAGAGTCTGAGGCTTTGTGTTTTACCTCCAACTGCCTCACCGATCTAGTCATTTCAGGCTTTGCGGATTTGGCAGGTCGACACTGCGCTTTTCTTCGCCAATAAAACTGGGGTGATTGGAGTTTGAGCATTGTGTTTTACCTCCAATACCTTCATGGGTTCAGTTCCTTCAGGCTTTTAGAGCTTTCGGAATTTTCTTCAGACCTTTTCCTCTTGTTTTTAATGTGAACAGGAGCTATAATATCGGTCTCGCGTTGAACGACGTCCAACACGACATCAGAGGCCTCGTTAGGTACATTCTGGGTAGCTGGGGCACTTGACAAGGTAGTCATCACCTCAGTCGGATTCTCCCTGAGAACAGGTGATATTGGCTGCCTGGCTTCCTCCAATGATTATTTGAAGGATGTTTGTGAGTAACGTAAGTTTCGTAGAGGATAGAAGTCACGATTTAACTCCACACGAAAATCTGCCTCGACGGGGAATCGAACCCCGGTCCACGAATTTCCGGTCCGTTGCTCTACCACTGAGCTACCGAGGGCTGGTGATTAGGTGCGGAATTTAACACGTGACTTCTGCTTGTTGCGCGACGTATTGCCAATGAGCTCACAGTAACTGTCCTGGTGTTGCAGATCGGCTCACTCACTCGTCACTTCCCAGTGGACCGAAGTAACTGTCCATCCGAAGTCCAAAGGGCGATGGTAGATTATTTGAAGGATGTTTGTGAGTAACGTAAGTTTCGTAGAGGATAGAAGTCACGATTTAACTCCACACGAAAATCTGCCTCGACGGGGAATCGAACCCCGGTCCACGAATTTCCGGTCCGTTGCTCTACCACTGAGCTACCGAGGGCTGGTGATTAGGTGCGGAATTTAACACGTGACTTCTGCTTGTTGCGCGACGTATTGCCAATGAGCTCACAGTAACTGTCCTGGTGTTGCAGATCGGCTCACTCACTCGTCACTTCCCAGTGGACCGAAGTAACTGTCCATCCGAAGTCCAAAGGGCGATGGTAGATTATTTGAAGGATGTTTGTGAGTAACGTAAGTTTCTTAGAGGGTAGAAGTCACGATTAAACTCCACACGAAAATCTGCCTCGACGGGGAATCGAACCCAGGTCCACGAATTTCCGGTCCGTTGCTCTACCACTGAGCTACCGAGGGCTGATGATTAGGTGCGGAATTTAACACCTCCAATGAGCCGACATCTGTAGAGACTCCCATTTTCGTCATCAGTAACTCCACTTTACGAGCAAGAGATACGAGGAAAGACCATATCTGCTGGTTACCCAACGCGGCGTTACAGGATGTCTCCTCTGTGACCTCAGGACGCAGTGATCGACGGCTACGGCATGGAAGACAATTGAACAACATAATATTGCTAGTCGAGAGCATTGCGTACTGGTCAGCGCTCAAATTGGTACAGGTCTCATGGTATCACCGTTTGCATACATAGCACTGCATGCCTCAGGCTCGTCAGCTAAGGGCTCTGAGCAGCTCATACTTCCGCAAACAGTATTAGATTCGCTGATCAACGCAGCCGAAGGCACATTAGCGCCGGTAATCAGTGAATTCGTCAAAACGCTTTCAAAGACAGTGTGAAACATGAATCAAAACGTAAAACCGACGAGTTAGTACCTGCAGCGCAGTCAAAAGAAGCAGTTACGGGTTAGAACAAGGTGTAAGGCGGATTACAAAACAAATACCAGAAAAGGAGCCAGAGGCTGAACCCGAAACTGTGTACGATGTTTGGTAAGTATCCGAGAACGTGCACGAAATGACCCCGGGGGAAAAGGTGATATAAAATTACTTGCATTGTGCGAAATTCGACAAAAGTCAACTATTTTGCACGAAACTATTTTAAACACTGCGCCGAAACTATCTTTTGAAATTACTGCAACAAAAATGGCAGCATGCTCAAAAATATCACTTTACCGACAAGCAGAAGGAAACGGGGGACATAATTGTCCTTGGGTAAGTACGCTCTTCCACTTCATAAACTTCGTTACCAGATAGCAACTCTCTTCGTTTTGCATCAGAAGCACTGTCACTCGAGCTCGGGACGGCATGTTCCTCTGTGACAGTGCTAACGGGCGGAAATGAGTAAACACGGAAAATCAATAACTGGCACTGGGTAATCACAAGTAATGATGGGATCATGCACACAGACCGTAGACGGGTCAGGTTATCAGTTGAACAAATTCGGTGGGTGAAGTGAACAGACCTGATATCTGACCAATTAGGTGGCAACAAACAGCCAAGTTCACGATGCTGAATGTGGGTCACGTGCATGAGGTTAGGAAAATTAGCCTTGAAAATATTATATTGCAGTTCCTCGTGGAAAACTATTTCGCTGACACGATATGCCGCCTACGTACCGATCAATACAGATGGTGAACCGATTACTGTAGGCGAATGCAGATGGAACCAACTGGAAACACATGGCCTGATGATTACTGTAGGTGTGCCGCATTTGGATGGGACAGCTGAATCAACGGAATGCAGTGAACATCAAAGGGGTTACCGTCACAGAGCCTTGAGAGAGAGCCGGGACGGAGAAACCTTAGTGAGTCTCCATCCATCCAGCATCGGTCACACGCGTGGAAGGTATGCGAAGGCAGTGCAAATTTGGAAGAGCAAGAATGTCACGAATATTTCCATCATAAACGGCTGATGGGCGGTCAAATAGGCAAGACCGCGGCATTGTAGACGGAATACCTCTGCTCGCGCGTGCACCGAGACGTGGCATTCGCGTTTCCACTCCAAAATGAGCTTCATCAATGGAGGTTCATTTCAATGTACTATGCTGAAAGCAATTTTGCGATTTCCGCTACTCTGAGTTTCTTTCTTGATATGCTGAGAATCAAGCCGAGCGTGAGACAAGAGCTGTAGACCAGCCATGCACGCAGCTCGAGCAAAGTGCGTTCAGTTACCGCTGGAGAG